ATGATGATTTCACAATCAGTCAAAAGCTATCTTCGTACCAATCAATTGTCAATTTTGTTGAATTCTTTTGAGGTCAGGCGGGCAATGTTCAATAAACAGCTCCCAAACCAAATCAAAGAGTAATTACCTCCCGATGCCTAAGTTTGAACAGAAACAGTATTCAACTAGAAGTCTACAACAATTGAGACAATTTTGAAAATGTCCTTTTTAAGTGATTACAGAATCAGAACACAAACCATATGTCAAAATGAAAATTGAAAAAAAAAAAAAAAACGATGAGTCCTTTTTTTTTTTTTTGAACGGCAGATAAGTCCACCATTACTGATTTCTAAACTTCTAGAATGAAGTATAAAGAATCTCCTCATTTCATCCTCAAAGTTGGCTACAAATGGTGAACTGCTTCAAAAGTGCAACAAGAATTCATAACCCACCATGCATAAAAACCATTCATACAACCTGGTAATTCTCCGTAATCAAAGTTGTCCTCTGCGAGAACTTAGGGGGAGCTCCACCTCTCAAAGGAATTATTTTGGCCACCTGCAATAACATTTTTTTTGAATGGCATGTGGCTGAACCCTTTAATGGAAGCTAAATAGCTCATTTTTGCAGTTTAGCGTTGAGGTACCCCTTGTACCCCTTAATTTAATCTACTTCTTTGCCGATAAAAAAACAAAGGCTCTTTTTTGCAATATAGCATCTATTTGATGGGCATTATACGGATAAACTTTGCAAATCTGATCATATTTTCCTCAGACACAAAAGCATCATAAGAAAAAAGGTAAATAGAAAGGCAAAACAAACCTTTAGGTCACTGTATGTGTTAGTGGCAGAAAAACATACGGAAATGGGGAAGAATGCTGATGAATCTGCTGGAGGCACAACAAACTCCATAGATCCACTGTCAACAATAGCAATATGAATCACTATGTGCTAAAATAGAAAGGACATATAGAACACAAATTTGGAAGTCCTAAAGTGCTTCATATTAGACCATTACTAACCTGCGGTTAGAGTTGTCAATAAGGAGTATAGACCACTCTAGGACAGAATTTCTTGAGTCATACCTGCAAATCCAAAAGAAATAAAACTACTTATTTCTTGCAAAATTTATGGCAAAGTTCAATGTAAGAACAATGTCAACTAAGTAACTTCCTATCTAATAAACAGGATTAAAAATGGAATATTAATTCCTTATCAATTACAACTTCTTCAGATAAATTTCAATTACCTCCACTCGCCATCAATCTGCCTGATATTTGGTGCCTCCCTAAGAGCTGGAAGAGGTACAGAAATCACGACATTGCACAAATCAAACATGGATGAGGCTTCATATTCAATGCTGACGTAGGTTTCATTTCCAGAAACTGAGGGCCAGCAGTTGACTGCAATATGTCAAAATTCATTTGGATGATTAGAGATCATACAACAGTAATCATATAGGAAAAATAAGCACTAAGCAGCATGAGATTTGAAACCCACTTGTCAATGGCACCATTGACTCATCTGCACTTTGCATTCTCCACCTCAAAAGACCAACACCTGCTGCATCACCGCCAGGACCAGTAGGATAAGGTCTGTTAGGGTCCTTCAACCCCAGAATATTTTCACTGGAGAACAACTCCTTGTTCATGTTGGGATGTGTTTTGAATAGGATGCCAGGATTACCCCCACTTTCAATCTGAAAAATATGGCATTATATTTTTTAAGATCAATAAGAGACCATACACTACAAGTTTTGAAACTGAATACGCAAATGGACCTTTACAAGATTTTGCCAAAGACAAGAAATTAACAACTTGATAAGACACAAGCTTAGAAACCATGTATACCAAGGGCATCTGTATTTCTTTGGGACTTTGAACAATGCAATAATATGTTACCTGAACTTGAATAAGCCCATCATCTTGGTTAAGAATTTGAAGTGACAAAGTTCCTTGAACATCGAAGTTACTAATCCCACCATCTCGTTTTAGTGTGACATTGAGTTTCTCCTCAACAGTCAAAGTGATGGGATCAGTAGGTGGTGGGGCAGCTGGTCTGGATTGGCCAGCTTTTGGTTGCACATCTTCAACAATCAGTTCACCTTCTGCTTTAAGGGATTCCAGGAATTGGTTTGTCTTTTTGGATTTACCAAGCTGCATACCAAGACCTTTAGGAGGAGCAGTGGCAGCTGAAGGTTGACGGCCTGATAAAACAAGCATATACAGTTACCAAGATGCAATCATTCATAATAAACAATATTAGAAGACAACCAAGAACATATACGGAGAATCCAAAAAATCCTATACCATAAAGAAATGAAGACCAGAAAACATACCTTTGGACTTTGTAGAGTAAGACTCAACATCAGTGCTCAATCCAAATCCAGAACCACTTCCAAAACCACCTCCACCACTAGAAATGCTGAGATCACTGAAGCTACTTTCAATTCTTCCAGATCCCATTGACTGTAGGGACATAAATCCTCCTTTATCACCTCTATTCTTCTCAATCTACAGAACATACCAGAAAGTTATCATAGTTTATGAGAGAGAGATTGATAGAGGCACAAAATAACTCCACAGCCACCACCATTCATAAGTAGAGATTGATGGAGGCACAAAATTACTCAATAGCCACCACTGTTCGTAAGTAAATACCTTGCTCTTGTCAATCTCACTAGCTTTGCGCTTCATGACATCCTTAGTTTCATTGATCTTGCTCTGCAAGACCAGCTTGTGCAACTTCTCTTCATGACTCTCCATTTCACAGTACTGCTTGACCTGTGCAACAGTCACATTTTCTTTGTGCCCAAGGGAGATGACTTCATCAAAAGCAAAGATCAGCTCAAAAGCTGTCTTGCAAATACCCTCTTCATCAAGAGATAAAGAATACTCAGGTACCTAGAAAATTAAAGGAATTAAAAGGAATCAACCATCTAGCCATGCTCTTCAGGATTGATATAAAAATATCACAAGAAATGCAAGCCTAAAACTTTTTGAATTGAAGTGTAAAACAAGATTGAGGAACCATAGATGAGAGCAAACAAATAAGTCATGTAATACCAAAACTTCAAGAGACAATAATGTGGTTGAAATGATCCCAAGAAAGAAAGTTGACAGAAATCAGTAATCAGCATCATACCAACTTTGAGAGCATCCTTAGAGTATCCAAATCTTCAAGAATGTTGCTCTGTTTATTTGTTACTAGTACAAGATATAAAGCTTCTATTGGCTGGTAAACATAGCGCACATTCTCATTCTCAACAAATGTGTGTTGTTTCCCTGTGCCTACCAACTTGGGAAAAGCTGCAAGAAGACTTTCAATTCGCATACGAGACATGTCCATAAACTGCCTGGAGACAAGCACTGCATTGAATATAAAATATACATAAGAGCAGTGAAAGATTTGTTGCTACAACAACTTACTTAGCATTTGAAAAAGAACAACTTGAAGGAAAACAAAGCAAAGGGTCTACAATACCAACTAAGAAGGGACACTTTACCAGCAAAAATTTTCCACATAAAAACAGGGAAAAGGAATGTTAAACATATATAAGATACGTAGCTATATAGAAGATGAATCCCAACAATTAAAAGTATATAAGAAACATTAAAAGTTATCATCAAGGGTCCTTAAGTGTAATATGCTTTCACTTGAATTAAAGAAAAGGTCTAGGGGCTAGGGCTGTAATTCATGTTATGGTATGTCCAAGTAAATATTAGGACTGGTACTTTAAAAATCATCTTTTTTCTGGACCATTTTACTAATGATAACCAAGTTTAGATGAATGCTCCTCATACATTCGTACTTCAGTTAAAGGACACTTTCACTCATTCTTCTACTCATATCAAGAACTTCCTGTGTTTAGGGGCAAACAACATGCCCATTTGCTTCAAGAATGTAAGTTGCATGCCTAGGACTAATGCCCAAACATAAGTGTCCAAGTTTTAGAGATAAGAGTTATTGCATTCTATTGCTTTCTAAGGGTTAACTTCTTAGAGATATCATTCAATCACATAGAACAGGTTCATACTTCAGACAATAATAAATAGTTGTGAAACACGATTAGCCAACCATCTTCAAAAGGAAAAGAATAATGAACAAGCAGAAAACTCACCTTTGCCTGACTTACTCACAATAGAAGCAGCTAGCACAACCTAAATCAGTAACAAAAGGTGAATGAGAAGAAAACCACAAAAAGAGATTAAAGAACAAAGCACTTACAGCTCAAAACCCATACACATTTCTTTGATAGAAAGCAATATTTTTCTTGAATCAAGTAATTTTTTTTTAAACATAAATGTGGTATGATCCACCGGAATGCAACCAAGCTAATATATCACAATTATTGGCCTATAACAATTTGACATCCAGGTATTCTCAACAGAACAAATCACAAACAAACAATTGCGAGAAGGGAAAGTTTTACCAGGACATTTTATCAAACTCTGCAGCTAGAAAACCATTCAAGCTGAAAACTATAAGGCATTATTATATGAAACAAGATCTATACCATTTTCGTTTAGTAAGAAGCAGCCACCGATGGAAGACCACACAACCACCTTTCACAAACTACCTACAAAAACAAAATCAGGTCAATAGAATCAGAAATCACAATAAGAACCAAAATTCATAGAAAATAAACGAAAGTTATAAGATCTAACAGATACGTAAAAAGATCTACAGAACACAGAAAACCGCGAACACTCGGATCTATACATGCAATACACAGATAAGCATTAACATGAAACTTAATTGGATCATTTGGAAATGAAGAAAATGGAACAAAAACTTCTCGAACAAAATTTCTAATCTCAGGTAAACACAACCGCATAAACTCAGATCTATACAATTTGTTCTTGAAAACGAAGTCTAGGGATTCGGTGCGTAGAGATCTGAGAAGGAGCTTACCTTGATCCAATTGCTGTGCCGTCTGCTTCAGAGATCACTCTGTTCTGTTGGAATTCCAGAGACTCCCCGTTGCAGAATGCTGAGTGCTTTCAGCAAACAAAACCGATAGAGTAACATGATTATAAGTTTTTCAATGGGCTTCTCGCGTTATTTTTGCGTCATATTTTAGGCTTTTAAAGCCCAACTCTTGGGTTTGTTATTTTGTCAGAATCAGACTCCATATTCCCCGGCCCACTAAGCCTAAAAAATGAATATTAAGATCCGATTGGAATAGAACATGTTACATATATAATCTTATGTAGGGCATTTTTTTTTTTAATGTTGGATACATAACTTTTATTTTTTTAACTCGTTTTATTTATTTATATATTATATGATTTAAATTTAAAATTTTTTATTTTTAAAAAAAATTACAAATTTAAGCAGTTCACATATAAAATTATAAATTTATATTCACAAATAAAATGTATTATTAAATAAATATATAATATTAAAATACATCATGAAAAGAATCAATTATAGCCAATAGG